CCAAGAAATCAACGGTTTTAGCGAATCATTTATGGATTAACTAATTCATGAATTACATTATCACCATAAGAGTTCAATAGCACGTAAGATTCGGATTGGAGCAACAAATTAGCATATAAATTATAGCTCTAAATTTTTTGCTAGATCTAAACTTAATTTGTGATGGTGGGGGATCCAGATTAATAAAAATAGCAAAAAATTACAAATAAAACGTGAATTATCGTTTTTTTACATATAATTTACATAAATGATGCAATAATGTTCCAATTTGGAAAATAAGCAAAAGGAAGTCATTTAAATTTAATACATTTATACGAAGTATACTCGCTAATTTTGTTATTTGTTCTCTTTATTTTCTCATTTCATTAACTCTTTAAGTATTCTATACTCCGAAGAAAAGAAAAGGAAGCTATACTCCTCCCCGAGGAGACATTTCACTTTTCTCATCAATATTTCTATTGGCCGGAAAAATAAAATGTCTCTATTTTGCAGCTACCATTGTTGAAAATAGAAAATGGAAAATGGTGGAAAGAAAAAACGCGAAGTACATGAAGTAAAATTCGACAAAGTCGTCGAAGGAGGATGGGCTTAAAAGAACAAGACAGACAGAGGCGGAGAAAAAAGAGAGAAAAATGGGAAGGACGGATGTATTGGTGCATCGATGGCGATTAACTCAGGAAGAGTCCCTACGACGCGCCGAAACTGGTTCCCATACCGGAACGTCTTGGCGGGAAACGTCGGCCAATGGTAAGCGTCGTCGTTCTTCGCCGTTTGGAATGCCGTTCGGCGAAGATTCAACGCCTCTGGGAACCGTGAGACGTGGAAGAGGAGCATTTGCATTCGCCGCGAGATACGCCCAGTAAATTTCCCGCGCCGCGAGATACTGGGATCCGATATTTGGGAGAATCCGACGAGTCTTCAAGTTCTCCGCTGATTACTGTGGCTTTTCGACTTTTCGCCCTCTCGTTGTGGCTTATCGACGACATCTCGTCCGAGATGTCGACGTGAGTAATAGGAAGATAACGAGGACAATGACCAGGCCACAACAAAGTAGCAACGTTAGAAGGGACTTTCTTGAAGATTTAATTAAAGGGTTTATATACGGGTTCTTGCGGATTAAGCAGGAAAAGCAATATAAATTTTCTCCTTTAACTCCAGTATAGTTATTAACCAGTATAGTCTTTCTTTAATGACAATTCGTGAAGACAATAGCGATTTTTTTTAAATCAGATAAATACTTAAGGATTTTGGAATTTTCGTGAAATATGATTCTTGATACATATACTGCGGTTTCTTTAAAGCGAATATCTTCGCACGAACACCGTTGAAGTTGGCATCCCTGCAGACGATACCAGTTTCTTCCCGCGCTTTCAAGAGGATAATATCACAAAGAAATGAAAAATGTTTTCTGAAAATCTTAAAACTCTTCCCTAAGTCCTTGACTGTATGTAAAGAAAATTCCGGCTCAATATGTAAGCTTCAATATAAGCTTCATGTAGCAATTCCTTTCTCGCGGTTAATTGTTCAATTGACTGCAATTATTTGACAATAATTTATTTGACAAATGTTCTTACAAAGCAAAATTAATTTCGAAGCAAAATTATAAAATCTTAAATTTTTACAGCATTTATTTTATAAATAATAAAATTAATTTTTTAAAAATATATCACTCGTAAAATGTATGCTTAAAAATAAACTTTAAAAAGCAGGAATTTAATTTCTTTCGTGCTGCAGTTTTTATACGGCACTGTAACGAGCAAGTTAACTATGTACAAATGACCTATTTAATTACAGAACGTTGCAAATTTTTATCTCAATATTCTCATGAATTGACTGACTTTTCTGTTTCATTTTCTCTCTGGTTAGTTAACCGACCCGGCTGTTTACATCTCTGTAGTCTCAATCCTCTCCGATTTCAGATTAGCTCGCAAACATCGTTATCAGTTCTACATCGCGAGTTTTTTCACGATAGAACTTCTTCCTAGGAAGGGCGCAGTTTAAACATGTTGGTTATCATAATACCAAGATAAAGTTTAAAGCTCGGCTCCTCTTTAATGTTGGCGACAAAAATGGCGCTCGTAGAATCAGCTGCTTCCTCGCGCGCAGTTCGGTTGAAAACGGATACAATACGCGGTACTGTTCGATAAAAAAAATATCAGTCTAAAATTCGATATTAGCCTAAAATTCGCGATATCTAAATAAAATCATCAATATCCGATATCAACACTTTCGATTCAAAACCAAGAGTTCATTTTCTACTTACAACTTGTGCCTATAGTCTATTGAATAAGACAATTTTATCTTTTTTCTGATTCTTAATAATCATTAATAAAACTGTTATTTAAACCAGCTCTAATTCTGGAAAGTTATTCTTTTCACTCTATTCTACTTGAATTAAAATGATGAAATATTAAGTAATTGTTTATACAAATATATCTCAATTAGCAACCAAGTTTATATATATATATATATATATATAAATAAGGAAAAGCACAAAACGAAACCTCTACATGATAGTTACAATTATACAGCGTGATGTTTTAGAATAATTTGATGTTAATTAGCAATAAATATTGCAGTTTACGTCCCTGGTACGTATTGTAGACGACATAAGTAACGTTAACTAGAAAAAAAATCAAATTGTACCCCGAATACCATGACTATTCGGATGCCATGACTATTTGGATTCCAGCATCTAACCATTAAGATTTTGACCGTTAGATTATAACCATTCGAAATACTGAGTCGTAGAACACGTTCTACTACGTTCTACAAAGTAGACTTTCGAAGTAGACTTTCGGTCGTATACTTCTCTTCATACCAAGATAAATAGAGGCGGTAGAATGTAGAAGAGGAGGAGGAACGTGGGACCAGTCGCGGGAGTAGACGAGGGGGTAGATGGCTGGAGCCATCAAGAAAGGCCCTTAAAGAAACGAAGCATACCAAGAGGAAATAATTCTTCGCCTAGCAACAAAGAAAACCAATGCTTGTCCATCTTCTTTCTTAATTACGGTATCTTTTCACGTTTCCCACATTAATTCACCCACAACAAAACCACAAGAACACGTTAACTTCAATGCATTTCTACGGAACATTTTGGTTTGTAAGCGATAAATCGCCAAATCCGGCGAATAAATTAATTTATTTTGTCGTTTTTCAATCGACTTACGATAAGACATAGTCAATCTATGGACATATCTTAAACATATACTTTTGCGAAAGCACGACATGCATGATCATTTCATTAGCTACACACTAAGAACAAAGAGCATAGGGATGTAAAGGTTCCCAAGGAATATCGAATTTTTTCCCCATCAACGTTTCAGGTATCCTATGTCATTTTACACTCTTCGATTCTATCGAAAACCTAACACGTGTAATTAAATCTGCAGGACCACCCAAAGGACGAAAAGCATACTTGAAGTCGTTGACGTCATTAAGTTGTAAATATTTAGAGCTTCTCGTAGTTCTAGCAAATTATTCTTTTCATCATACTCTCATTCGAGACGTTAAAGTTATGAAATAATAATAGGCAATTGTTTAAACAAGTATGTCTCAAAAAATTTGAGGGGGGAGTTCAATAACTGTAATAAATAATCCCCCTTGCGCACTTTGTCTTTTTTAACCAATTCCTAAATCTTGAAGACATAAAAAAGATCATCACTTTGAATTTTGTCTCATACTTTGAGCGTTATGATTATCAGCACGACTACAATATTTTCGTCTACGTGATACGAATGACTTTTTATTTCGCAGAAAGATGCATAAAGAAGACGTGTGATAGTCCTAGATCGTGGGATAAACATTTCCTCTTTTATAGTGGAGAAACGTAAAACACCGGCAGGAAGCTGAAGTGCGGGAGGCGTAAAGGCTTAGCGACAAGGGCGCTGTCATTTCCCGCCAGTCTCGGATTAAAAAGAGATGGTAGAAGAAGGAGAAGGAGGAAGACGAGAAATGCCGTAGGCGAAGGCCGGGACTGGGTCCGAGCTTGGACTTAAGTTTAGGTGGATGTATAGTAACCTACCGTACGAAAACGGCGATACCGACGACGAGACCGCATAAAGAGAGAAAAGGCTCTCAGTGAAACGCGATGAATGAATCGCGAGCATGAATGGAGCCCTCGGTGGCGGTGTAACGAACGGAAAAGCTAGGGTCAATTCTCACGCAACTGACGAACTATACAGAACGCGTTCCTACGAATTAATAAACGCGCGACTATTCCTAATCGCGCCTAAGAAAAGCCGTTCACTTTGAAGCGCCGGTCAGATATCGTGGCACGTTTCGAAAGCATCGACGAACGACGTGTATCGAATAGAGGGCGAACGCTTAAAGACAGCGCAACAGCTGTGATAATAGCTTGCCCAGGTTTACAGTAAATAATGCCATCGTCGCAAACACTTGTAACAAGTGTACTCTTTCTGTTTCAAAGGAGGATGTTAAGTTATCAGGAAATTTTTCGAGCAATTGACGAAAATTGTTCGGTTTCGAATTCTAGTTTCGAATAACGAACATGTTTATCAAGTGTTTAAGTACTAACAATACAGTTTTTATTGCTTAATTCCTAGAACGTCTTGATGTCTTATCAACGTTTTTATTGTATTTAATAACGATTTCTTCCATGTTTTCGATATTTCCCCATGATGAGTGATATATTATTCGATTCCACTTAAATAATCCTTAATACGATATCAAAACTTTTTTTTAAAAAATTCCTAATTTAATATCCTCCTTTTAATATTTTAGTTTGTCTTCCAACATTTTTATTTCATGACCGTTCAAGAGATTGGTAATCAAGAGAGTTTTGACTCCTCATAAGACAAAAGAGTTGCAATTAAAATTAAGATCACGATTTAGTACTTTATATATTCTTACGACATTTAAAAGTAATCATAAATTATCGTCTTAATTAAATCGAAAAAATCGCGAATAACGCTGCACGATGTACAAATGACAGAATGAACATTATATGTACAATATATCGAAAATTAATATAGACTTACCCTTCGTTTCTCTGATCATTCACGCGATGAGAAGTGCCGAAGATACCTGAAACAAAAAACAGAAAGATGTTAGACAGATCGTGTTCCGCAATAACACAGTTGCCTGTCATCGAAGTGAATTTTATAGGAAGTTCGTGGTCTTTCGGAAGAGATCACAATAAACATAAAAATCACGTCTCGCGCGCTGCAGAAATATCGGCGCCATCGGCGGAGATTGGCACGCACAAAAGACTGGACCAGTAAGAATGCCAGTGGGAACACGTGTTCTCTTTCATAGGACCGCACATGGAGCCGTATGCATCCCATTTCCCCATTCTCGCGAATCTCCTAACCGCATGCAAGATGCGAACTAGACGCGGATGTGGGTCATCTTGAAGACGCCGCTATGAAATCACGCGCGATCTCGCGGTCGCTCGTTCGTTTATTTGCTCGGGTGGTTGTTCTTTATTAGTTGGGGCTTTCGTTCCGATAACAATTGGTCCTGCCAAATCTATAGCGCCGCGAGCGAAGAGGTAATAATCAGGAATTATCATGCTGGCCGGCATTATCATCGTCGCTATCGTAGAACTGCTAACACCATCTGCAACTCACCATTCAACCTTAATCACAATCTCAGCGGAGTCCAATCTCCGCGTGACAAGTGCACCCCAGGTATCCCGAAATCCGAGAAACATGGCAGAGGTCGCACGTGCGTGCCATGTGGGACACGCGTCGAGAAAAATCGTTTTGCCTACGGACATTGCACTTTGAAATGATTCCCTTCGTCCCCGACATTCTCATTGAATAGGTGTCACAACCGACAAAGTGTTTGGCATTCCAAAGAACAGTTCGATATTTTTATACATTTCCACAGTAAAATTGATTAAGAATTTTAATTTATCAAAGGTGTTATAATAATCTCCATGAGATACTTGGGACACGCAAATTCGTTTATTTGTATTGATTAACTCTCATTGCTTCCGTTCGTTGCGCAAAATGTATACATCCCTGTCTCCCACATAATGTAAGATCAGTCTGCAGTTAGGCCGGAAGAATGGAATGACATGGAGGGACCCGGTCGTTAATCGTTTCATGTCGCACCAATAAGAAGACGAGGGGTGCGACCTACGATGCGCCGAACATCCTCAGCGATGAAACGTTAGCATGTGGCATATGTGTCTCATATATCTTCTATTTTTTATCTCTCCTCTCTGGTACAGAAATATTTTAATAAACTGTACACGGAAAGAACGGTTTTGCTAAAATATTAAAAAATTTAACTAGAAACACATACAGATCTGAAAATAATTTTGTTGGACTATCAAAATAATTAGAGTGCTTAACCATTGATAACGTTGCAAAAAATTTTAATATTCTAGTAACTAGTTTAATTCTATATAATTATCTTAATGATCCACAAACAAAATTATTTTCACATCTTTAGCTAGCTACATTTTTAGATATTTTACAAAATCATTTCTTCTATATGTAATTACAGATCGCAAATGCTCCTTTAATTATTCTTCTCTCTCTGTGATAATCAAGTAAATTTATTTAAAACAACGTGAAAATATATATCATAAATGTAATTCCTACATAACTAATTTTAGCGAATACCTTTAAAGCAGACGCTATTTAATTACAAAAGAAAAACTGAAAAGTTATGTTGCCTGAAAATATAATAGATGTCGCATTGAGTATTTGATAATCACATGATACAGTAATTATTGTATCCCGTGATTATAAAATATGTTAATGATACATTTGATATCAAGTAAACACCGTTCTAGTTTATCTTTTGTTGTTTTTGCACCGCGTGTTTCCGTTCATAGGCAGAAATTCCTCTCCATGTCACAGAGACCATCAATGCGTATCGAAGTGACCGGTCGTCTAGCATGCTAAATATCATGCCGGATATTTCAGTAGGTAACTTCTTTATTACATCTAATTTCGGTACGGTAACGAAATACAGGAACGCAAATATTCCTCTAAAAACTTCCATGTCTTCCTTGTACGACTGCAAAATGTAGACTGACTCTCTCGGCGGTTGTAAGGCATACTTATATATTATACATATGATACATTTTTATGACAACTGTATAATTTATTCTGCATTTTGTACCTGATATCTTTTTCATGCTATATTATTTGATTACCGAGTAAGATATTATCCCGAACAGAATTCTTCGCTACATCTCCCGCCAGGAATTTGTCCCTAAATTTAGACTTAAATCTCACTAAACGGGAGACGTTGCTCGACAAAAGATACAGGTTTAAGATTTAAGATTTTCTTTCTCCAATTTTTCAAAAATAAACCGGCCGACACTTTGCCGCTCGATATCTATCTCGAAAGATAAATGAAACATATCTTTCAAGAATAATTACAGCCAAAATTAAATTTTGTATCTTGAATCATGCATGAATTGGATTGAAAAGAAAGTATTCGACAAGAGATCGAATGCAAAAGGAACGCGATTAAGCGAAACTTCAAGACAAAATCCTTACCGAATGGCAGATAAAAGCAGAATAAAGTAAAAGAGACGATCATGAACTATATACGTCGTAACGCACTTCCGCAGGAAGTCGGAGGCATCAACCGTGACACGCACCCTCGCGCTACTCGTGTCGAAAGGTAGGATGGATTCACGCGAATTTCCAGGCGAGCGTAGTGCCTGAAATGGAGAACCTTGGCCTCGTAAAGGTCAACGTATCACTGATCTCAACGTTCCTTCTCGGTCCGTTTCCCTCACATTGATGCTTGTACCTTTTACCACCCTTTCTACCTGAACAGTGATGTTTCCTTAGCATTGCTAAATATTTCGCGGCAGCCTGCTTGCCACCTTAGATCTCGTGCAAATTGTCATAAGAGATTAATCAACAGTTTCGAACAGATGGCGGAGCGTATTTATGCGTTAAGTATGAAGACCTATCGCGGGGAATAAACTTATGGCACAAGGGAACTTTATGGAGTAATTAGATTCAACTTGGCCCTACTTTTTCTGAACTTTAATTCGAGGGGCTGACAAACTTAAATATTTATTTCTGTCCTAGAATACATTATCTAAGAATAGGTCATACAAATAGAAAAAATTAAAATTAAACAACAATAAAATAATATTTTGTATTCTTACTCGCATTTGTTATTAATTATTAATTATACTTAAAAATTATATTAAAAACTTATAACTGCGATAAGGTCATGCGATAATTGTGTCAATATTATAAATTATAAAATAAATAAATAAATTATAAATATAAAACATTATACAATTAAATTCACCCAGAAAACACATAGACGACATCGACTTATAATCACAGACTTCTATAATTAATTAAACTCACTTCGGTTGTTTAGACAGAGATAATATAAGTGGTGCCGAGAAATCCTTGTCTATGTCCACTTATGCATGTATGTGTACCTACTATCTTTATACTTTAAGTATACAAATGATCTGAGTGTATCACGTGACCATAAAATGGCAGTCCTATCAGAGACACTGCTTGGTAACAAACACAGTGACGAAGTAAATAGTCTAGTTATAGAAGTCTGTGGTTTTAATGGTCAAAGATATCGACGAATGTTGACAATGCAATACAGAATATTGTGGAACGCAACGACTCACCCGTTAATTCATCAATCTAATAGTGTTTGTAGGCAGAATGTTGCTGTTACAATTAATAATTGCCCCAATGCGAGCATAACTTTGCTATATCAATGTAAATTCAACTGCGAGAACGACCATCAGTCTCCCCCACTAATTAACGCGACATTCCCTAGCGAGCAACAGGCAGCGGCTGCGGCTGTGTAACATGTGCAAGTACGCTTCAACGGTCGTGACTCCACTCCACAGCGAAGCCACGAGAAGCAATGCGTGCATGGCAAGCAGACCAAATCATAATACTAATACCGCGCGAGAGAGAACGAGAGGAAAAGAACGAAAGGAAGCGAGATAGATGTATCGAGAACACTTCTAATTTTAGATAAACGCCTCACGACATCCGTTTCCTATATGCGCGCAAACACCAGGAACACGTACACCCGCCAGCCGTTTCCCGCCAGCGTGGGGCCCTCATGTGAGATTAAGGGTATGGATCCCGCGAGTACAGTTAAAAATAAAGCACACCCTGTGCTTCGCCGCGTTTTAGCCGAGAGAAAAAAAAAAGAGATGTATATCTATTCCAGGACAAATTTCGTTAGCCCTCCGCGAGATCCTGCGTCTAATTCTCTGGATGTAGCCGACACACATGACGAATCTTCCAGAGGAAAACGAAGAGCAACCAGGCACGCAATACTAATCTATCGCAAATAATTCTAAACCGTTCCCGTAAACGGGTAAGTTACAACTGGCTGAGCTTGTACGTTTACCCTTTTACGGTTCCCTATCTCTTTTTAGTCCTGCCTCTAAGAGCAAACGAATAATCAGTTAAACCTCAGTTAACGTGTTAACTGCCACTGCGGCGGTTACTAACCAACGTTACGATAAGATAACATTGACCCAATTCTCAAAAGTGTCTTGGGTCAAATAATTAAGTTTAGACCTCCAGTTGTATTTAAATCTTAGCTTTATTTAATACTTAATTCGTCGTAATCAAATTTCCAAAGATATTAACCAAAGTAATATTTTTATAAACACTTTCCAAAATAAATAATTATAATAAAAAAGTTTTATACGGAAAGAACGGTTTTATTGAAGTATAACATTTAGCTAGATGAACATAAATTTTGGTCTATCAAAGTAATTATGCAGGACGGACAAACTGATTGTTAAAACGTCAAAACTTTTTGCAGTATTGCCCACCATGCTTGAGTTTTCTATATAATTATTTTCATGTTTCTACAAAATTATATTTTCAGATCTTTAGCTAAATTTTCAGATATTTCGCACAATCATCCCTTCCGAAAAAAAAATTATTTTTAATAAATTCCTAATTTCTTATAAAAGTTATTATTTAACCCTTCACGAACTTACTTCGATGTCTTACGCGAGAATAAATTCTTTTTCTCTTTCTAAATATATATTGTCGTTTGATAAATGATACAATTCCATTAGAACCATGTATCGCAAG